CTATCCTGGCGCTTGCTCTGGAGACCAGGTTGGCCTCGAACTCACAGAGATCCGCCTACCTCTGCCTCCAGAGTGCTGGGATTAAAGGTGTGTGCTACCAACACAACGCCCAGTTTACCATTCTCTTTCTTTTCCCTGTGTATTCAGTCTGGGATCTCAGTCTGCAGGGTGGTGGTGCCTAGTGTTTCATTATTCTCTCTTTTCTTAAACTGTTTTGGAATCGCCCTAGCACACATATTCAAAGGTGTATTTCTAGACTTTTCCCAATCCAATCCAATTCCATCGATTGTGAAAACTCATCGTCATCACAACTTATTCCACCCTATAGTCAACCCAGTCATAGATTTTCAAGCATGACAAGCAAGAGAACATCCTCAGATTGTTTGAGAATGTATCAACTACAAAACACTGGCAGTGAGACATGGGATTGAATAATGTGAGCAACAGAATGAAATAATTCAGGAGGACAGAATTACTTAAAGGCTGGAAGTAGCATTATTAAAGACAGTTTAAAAGGCATTAGAATTCACCAAGCAAGAACAAGCCAGTGTGAAAAAGTATCAATTCACAATTAAATAACTTGACAAAATTCACTCCTGAAGTTTAATAATAATCAAAAGACAAATGTAGACATCCTGGAGATCAATTTTAGAAACACTGTCAGAATATAGATGAAAAAGCCAAAAGGAAATGGAGAAGACATTTGTCTAGTTTACTTTTTGCTGCTGTGAAAAAAAAAAAAAAAAAAAAAAAAAAAGAACCACTGACTGAAAACTGCCTGAGGAGGAAAGGGAAGAAAGGTGCGCTTTTTGGCTTGCAGGTTATATATAGTCTGTGGGGAGAAGCCAAGCCAGGAATTCAAGGCAGAAACCTGGAGGAAGGAACTTAAACAGAGACCATGGAGGGATACTGTTTACTGATTTGCTTTCTCTGAATTACTCAGCTGTCTTCCTTTGACAGCCCAGGCCCACCTGCCCAGGGATGGCCTTGCCCTCAGTGGGCTGGCCATGCTATACTGATCCCTAATCATGAGCACACACTACAGACTAATCTGATGGCAGCAATTCCCTGGTCCCCTTTTCTTAAGAGTGTCGAGTTAACAACTGAATCTAACTATGACCCCATTCTAGAAGAAGGTGGTAGATGCATGCAATGGAAAAATCACCAAAAAACTATCAGGAGACTGGACCCAGCTAAAGTGGAAGAATGTAAAATATATTTTAGAGGTGGGACTGTGGCCACCAGAAAAAGTAATAAAAGGCATTGACTGAGATTAATTCCTCTGGGAAATAGGTGTACACCTCTATATAGCAATTGACTTTTTTCTATCATTGTCTTACACATGCAGACACACACTTACGTATCAAACTGATATCTAAATAGTATGAACTTGTAGTTAAGGGAAGAGTGGAGATTACCACCCCAGAGGAGTGTGACATCTGACACCAACCTGTCCCCTTTGTAACCTCTGGATGGAGAGGTAAACTTGGACTGTATCCCCACTGCAAACACACAGATGCCTTCACAATCACATGCCAGGGTATAGGCAGCATGAGACAGGGATAACTGTATTATGGCAAGTATTATATGTTAGCATGTAAATACAGATATGAAGGTTCTCTATGTGTCAGCCAACATACCTGCTACCCTCCATTCTACCACTAGTTAAACAGCTCTGTCCAGAAGCCCTTGTTGAAAGACCCAGAGAGCTTGACAAAAGCATTCATTGTGTAGGGATGGCCAGTAACTGGTAGTCTATGACCTGCTGGGGACATAACCTGGTTTGTTACTTTTCCATCACTGTGATAAATGGAAAGGAGGAACAATGGATTTTGGCTCATGGCTTCAAAGTATTCACTAGAGGTTGGCAGACTCCATTTATCTTGGCCCATGGCAAGGCAAATGCCATCGTGATCATAGAATAGAGTAGATTCATGTCACTCATTTCATAGATGCCAGGAAACAGAGGGCACGCTGTCTGGAGACAAGATACACCTTCAAAATCCCAACTCCAGTGACAGTTCAAATCAGGGGCAAGTTTCAGCCATCTCCACTATCTCCCGGTGGCTGACTCAGTCATGAATCCATACACAGATCAACCCATCGTTTAAGACAGACCCACTCTCATCCACTCACTTTTTCAGCCCTACCATCACCTCAGGACTGGACCTTTAACGCATGAAGCTCTGCTGTAATTGTTCCAAATGCATCACAGAGCTCCTGGTGTCTAGAGTGAAAGGAAGTTAATAAAATCTCTTTCCAGCTTCAAACATTTAGCTGGAAACTAACAAGGTCAGAGTTGCTGGGCAAAGATCCACAAACTGCAACTCTCCGATCTCTGGTGCCACTAAAGTCCACAGCTGGCCTCCAGCTCTCATAGCCTGTTCTGGTTCTCAGGGATTCTACCACCAATTTAGAGCATGCATTCCTTTCCAGAGGCTACTCCTTTTACTTGGGTGAGCTTGGAAAAGGCTTTATTGAAACTCAAATGACAGTATTAAAAAAAAAGCCTGGAAAAGAGCAGTATTCACTTGGCATTCAGAAGTGACAAGGGGGCTGCTGGTGGCTACAGTGGACGGGGTGGAAGGTGGCTGGTGTGTGTTCTGTGTAACAACAGCTGGTACCAAAGCGGCCGGGGATTGACACTGAGACCATTTTTTCCCAAGTTGTATGGATATTTAAAATTTCGTAATGTTCTATACATTTAAAAGGGTTGTTGGAGATCTCCACATATTTCTCAAAGTCTCTTTTCTGTTTAGATGGTATTTTTTAAAAAGGAAAGAAAACTTTTCAACTGTCTTTAATGACAGTTTTGTCTTTCAGATCCAGACAATGGACTGCACACAACTCAAACTTTCGAAATCAGAACTGATAAAATGTTTAGAAGACATTGCATGGATGTCCCTTGTTGCATGTCCCTTCTGGAAAGCCCTTGATGGGACACATGGAGGACAGAGAAGTCCCTGGTGCCAGTAAGAGACTGGTGTGTCTCTGACAGTCATTGTTTGATTTCCTCCTCTTGAACAAGGGAACTTCATGCCAGAGAAGGCCAACTCTGTAGATAGGGATATAAACACTGTCCCTTTACACTCAGGTGTGAACAGAGTCAAAAGGCCAACTCTGTGTTGCTGTATCCCTTTATGCTCAGGTGTGATCACAATCAAAACAAATTGTTCAAGCTGCAAATGACCAAACACCATCTGATCCAAGTTAGGCTTAGCAAGAAAGCCGGTCATGAAATTAATTATGCCTCTTTGTAGCATCCGATCTAAAGCCCCATGGTCTTTAATCCCCAAGGTCACCTAAATTAAGTCCTGATACTTTCTAATAAGTCATACCTGACATTTAAAGAGTTTTCTAACACTCTTGCTGATCTAGTCTGGTCTCCATGGAGTGTCTCTCTCCAAGAAACCATAGTAAATCCAATTTATTTGGCTCCAGGGGGATTAGCTTGGTCTCTGCTGAAGGGTTTGACAATCTGTGACTCTCTACCCTTTCTGATTTTCCTTGTCTCGATTACTAAAGAGCAGTGACACCCTTAGTCCTGGCAGTGATCTGCACATTTACCATCTGTGACGAGATAGGGGCTTTGTGTGGGTTTCTCTCTGATAGCATTCCTGTTGCTCTTTCTTTCCATGTTATTTTATGGACAAGAGAATGCCCTTGCTTCACAGTACTGTGACGATCATTTTCTGAACCCTCTTTGTAACCAATCAAAGAGGGAGTTAGCAGCACAAAGCTTTGAAGGCCCTAGGTAAATCTGGTAAGGTCCCAATAACTTCATTCACTTTATTATTTTTTACAGCTGTCTCCCAGCTGCATAGCCTTTCAATTTACAAACAGCACAGTTCTTCCACATCGATATCAGCCAGATTTTTTAATCCAATTAAAGGTAAAAAAAAAAAACCCTGCAAAATGAATAATAATAAAAGCTTGGAGGACATCAAACAAGGAAACAATAGTCGTGCAGGGTTTTGGAGCCCTGATGTCAGTTCCCTCTCTTGGTATGATGCTTGGAATTTAACTCACAGATTTTCATCGCAAGAGTTTTAGATCCCAAAGCTCTACCTCAAGTTCTCCTAATTTTCCTTCCTCCTTCCCTGCTCCCCATCTCCTGTCTCCCCTCCCCTCTTTTCATGCCTCCCCAACCCCCATGCTAGGTAAGTGCTTCAAGACTAAGCTAAAACTATAGCCTTCCTTTAATTTTTTTGCGAGTCATGGTTTCACACTGTAGGCCAGATTAGCCTAGAATTTGCAGCAAATCTCCTGCCTCCACCTTCCGGAGTACCTGAGCCAAGAATACTCATGCACTGAATGAGATCTGGGAAAGACCAGCCTTTCTGATTGCCTCTGGTCCCTGGAAGTTTCAATTCTTCAAACTGGGCAAAAACTTCTTTTCTAAAACTGCTTGGACAGCAGATTCTTTGGTTCTCCTGAGTCCCATATTCGCGAGTCACCAAGAGGGCCAATTGTGCTGAGTGTGGGAAGGACCCAGAGAAAAGTTGGGTAGGAAAGCGAAGAGAGTGTGTACTGTGCCCCTTCCCCCTGTCAGCCCTATAGCACCTTGACCATCAGCTGAAACCCTTTTGCTCAGAGTGGAGTGCAGGGCAGCATTCCTGTGGACTCCCTGATGTCCTGGGGGTGGGGAAGAGGACAGGGATGGAGAGCATCCGCAGGAAGATGGGCAGCGCTGCAGAATAACACCCGGGGGAGCCTGGGTGGTGCAGCCTCAGATGCCTGCAGAGCCCAGCAGCCAGGGGAAGCTGGCTTTGGCCTCGGTCTTTGAAGAGTTCTCTGGAAGTTCTCTGGAGGGGGCGGGGCGAGCAGCAGTCTCCTGTCCTACCGGAGCCCTGCGCGGGAGTGTGCGGAGGAACTCGGCCTGCAGTCGCAGCCCCAGTGCTGTCCAGCTGCTGTCCCGCTCCTGAGCAGGGGTGGACACAGGGTGCTGTCCGCGGGGTCGGCAGGGCGCAGACGCCGGGATGGCAGAACGCACCGGCAGGATGGAGGGGCTGGTTTTGCTCAAGGCCCTGGTCACCAGGCTGCTGTTCGTGTTGCACTCTCTGGTCGCTGTCTGGCGAGTGACCTGGGTGAAAAAAGAGCACCGTTACTGGCTGCTGGCCCTGCTCAACCTCTTGCTGATCCTGGAGACAGTGCTCACCCTCAAGTTCAAGCGCGGCAGAGGCTACAAATGGTGAGTGTCTTGGAAAAGGAGGGTGCAGAGGGTCGCGGGCATTGTTCACCATGGTCCTAGCAGGTGGCACCAAAGCCCTTGTCCCAGTAGCGTGTGGTTTGCTCGCTGGCATTCGGGCCGGTTTTGTTCTCCGCTAAGCTTGCCAGCACGTGGGATGCTGGTGCGGTGCGTCTTTTGGATAAGTCAGTGGTACCTTGGGTCCCAGTGCAGCGCTGGGAAGGCTGGAGTCTGTACATATGTACTTGGCTACCCCAGCTAAAACTGTCTTCACTAGAGGAGTGAGCTGATCTCGCAGTGCTTTCTAAGTTCCAGTGTGAGATCAATCCGGGACCAGTACAGCATGTACGTGCAAGAGTGGGGATGCCTTGACGGACATCATGAACCTTGCAGAGCTTAGCGCTCCTAAGTGTCCATTGCACAGTGCCCCCCACCCCCACCCACGCACCCATCTTTGGTTTTAGCCTCTTCCTGTCTTTCCAGCCCTCAGTGCGCCTGTGGTTTTAGCCACTTCCAATTCCATCCAACCCCAAACGTCCCTGGCTCTCCAGTGTGATACCAGTTTCAGGTGTCTGGGTTTGGTGGCTTTGAAGCTTGGTGCCTACCTCACCAGGCATGGTTTGTGCTAGAGATACTACAGGAGGGACCAGCAGTGGTTCAGCCTTAACCTCAGAATAGGAACTCCGGGTTCCGCTGGTGGCTGTATTTCCCCCTCTAGGCTGAATGCAAGTGAAAAGGTTTGATACAAAGATTGCCTGGGCGTTTGCACAGAGCACCCCCAGCCACCCACCCTTGCCTTTCAGGACAGTTCCATCTCAAACTTCTGCAGGTTAGGCCTTTTTCCTGTAGGAAGGAGGTGGTGATATTAGTTTATTATTTATTGCATGCACTTTGCCGTTGTATTAGCTGTCATGTTCAGAGACAGGAGCCATTCTGTCACGAAGTGCAGAGAGGTTGTATATTTCATAGTTATTGTGGGAGAAAATGGGCTACCTTTGAAGATGATGTGAACATGACTTCAAACCTCTGCTTTTGAAAAATATCTAGAATTGTCAATGCTCAGGTCCTTTGAGGGTCCAGGATAGCTAGCAGAGCAAAGGTAGGCACGTTACTTCCCATCCCCCTTCCCATCAACAATTTGGTAAACATGAGGCATTTGCAGTAATTTTACATCTGACTTCTTGACATCACAAAGCAAAATGCTATTCACTTCCCTGCAGAAGACTTATAAAGGAGAAAAAGAAAAGGGGAGAAATGTTTTGTTACCCGCATATCCTATGGTAGATACATTTGAGGTGTTTTTGTCTTTTTCTTTTTCTGACTTGTAATACACTACAGTAGACATATCTTTCACTGCAGGAGGAAGTCCAAGCCCCAAATCTGTCCAGTGTGAAGTAGTCCTGACATCAACTATGAGCTCTTCTGGGACAAATGTAGATCTCAGAAAGCAGCCCGATCAGCAAAACCTGAAGTAACCCCTTCCTCCCAAAAAGAAGGCCAGAGCCATTCTGGTTGTGAAGAAATACCATAGCTGGTGGAATATTAGCCTTTTGTGTGTAGTGCTGATTCAGGCTGTCATGGCACTTAAAACAAAAAAGGGAAAATAATCTTGACAAAATGTACATGGGTCAATGAGTCAGATTAAAGGGTAACCAGAGCCATGCCGGTATTGGTGGGGGGGACCTTCTTTTCCAACTACAGACCTCTGCTGTGTATTGCGTATTACATCACTGGTTCAAGGGAAAGTTTGCTGGCTTAACATCCCAACTAGTATTTGAAAGTAAGGAGGGGGAAAGGGCTGATACATTTGGCTTATTACAAAAGTTCAGGGACAAATGAGTATTTGTAAAGTGATGCAAATGGTCTGCTCTTAGTGCTGCACACTCCCTAGGCTGCACTTTGATGTTACAGAACATAAGCTCTAAGCCAGCCTGCAAAGATGGTCATTTGCACCGTAGATAAAAACCACAAACTAGGAAGAGAAAAGTAAGATAATGGGCTTTGGAAAATATAAATGAAATTATCCTTGAAATAACATGATGACAATGGGAAAGGTTTTGATTTGGGCCCTATTTCATTCTAGGTTGGAGTTTTCTGAGAAAAACACAGCATAATCATTTTCTGTTTGAGATTGTTAAGAGCCATTTTCTATCCCAAATTGCTAGCTGATAGAATCAAAGAGAGAAAAAACAAACACCACAGTACTATCTGTGCTAACTACATACAGTGAAATGCAAGGCATATTATCTATATGGGAAATTGGTAATTTTATATAGTTGTATGTGCAAATTGACATGAACTGAGATAGAAAAATAGGTAGGTAAAGTTTTGAACCATGGGATTCTATTTTGCAATCAGCCCATAGAACCAAAAATATTTGTATGTAAAGAAATGAGCAGGAACATTAACTCTCCAACATATTTGTGGAAAATAAAAGTGAAAACACCCTGATTTATATCAACGGACTGGTGAGAACATTGTGATTTATGCATGCTGATACTATTGAAAATGGTGAAATAGATTTTAGCCACTGTAGTAGAGGGCTACCCATTGTTTATCTCCAGATCACTACAGTTACAGACATCTTTGTCATGGCTCATTTATTACAAGGATGGATTTGGAGGAGAATTATACTTTTTCCAATTGGGAACACTTGTTATACCTGTCACAGAAGAAGACGAAGAAAATGAAGTGGCTGAATGAGAACAACTATAGAAAAGAAAAAAAGAGGCGGAAGAGGGGGGAAAGAGAAAGAATGATCAGTTCACTCAAGGTTTTCTTGATTTCTATTTTTTTCAGTTATCTGAGAAACAATCCAATTGATCTAGGAATTGTCATTTAGGTAAAGTTGAAGCATACAAGATAAGCGTTTCAGTTGCTTTCCAGACAACAGTGCTAGGGAGGAGGAGGCTATCTCAGCAGTAGCAATCCTCCCATATTAAAAGATCAATAGAATCCTGTAGAGTTGAATCAATGGCTATGACAGACTAGAGTGAAGCAGAACAGCTCAATCCCGCAGGCGGAAGTAAGCATACACACTGGGAGTAGAAATCCCTATTACACCCCTGAACTTCCTTTGGACTATTCCAGGCTAATTTGAATATTATTCATTTTGTTAAAATTTAAACCTGGACCCTGGAACACTAAACCAGGAATGGCACAAATCCCAGTACTATGAAGGACAGTGGGGATTCAATTTCTTGATGTAGCAAGCATGCACATGTCTCCAAGGACATCTTCCCAGCTCTTTGGAAAGGAAAAGTGCAGCTAGATGCTGAGCTCAGCTGCCCAGGGACAAGGAGCATTACAGCATCCCCGTTAACTAGCCAGCTGGAACAGTTAATGTTGGAATCCTATAGAACCCAAAGGGTGGACCCACCCGTGACCCACCCATAAGGAACACCAGGGGAGCTTGCTTTTCATTCCCCTAGTGTCTACATTACCTGGATCTTCACTTGTGTGTCTCCAAGATGGAAATCAGCAACACTTAGTTTAATTTTTTTTTCTTGATTTTTATTTTCAGTTGCCTGGGCAAAGATCCAATGGATCTGTGAATTATCATTTAGGTAAAATCAAATACAAGACAATATTTCGATTGCTTCCCAGCCAGTAGTGATGAAGTACTCCTCAGGGAATAGAAAACATTACCAAGTTTGTGACAAGTTTCAAGCCTGTTCTCTTGGAAGGAGGTAGTATCTGAGGGAAAAAAAATCCCAAGTTGAATTTATTGGCAACAGCACAGAATTTTAAACACGGCTCTTTCTTCATCAGAACATTAATAATGCAAAGGACTTTTGTCATCTCTCCTTCCTCCTTCCTTTATGTTTGATTAGGCATAGATATTTTTTGCTTTTGCTTTGTTTTCTAGACAGTCCTATGTAGTACTGGTAGCCTTTAACCTGAGGCATTCTTTCCTCCTCCTGTGTGTTGTGATTACAGATACATGCCACCAAATCAGGTTTGACAATTATTAGTGTGATGAGTAACAACAAAATTATGCAGGTACCATGGCCTGACAAAAGTATCAGGGAGCCAAAAAAAAGAAACCTTGAAAATTTTAAATAAAATGTGGCATTTTGATTAAGTGCTCTAATGTGCAGAATGACAACCATTGTGAATCTTTAGCATTTATCAAGTTCCGAGGTCTGTTGGATTTCACACCAGTGGCCCAATCTAATCCAACAACCACTGCAGCTGTTTTTTTTTTTCCTCTATTTTTCCCATTTTCATATGGAAAACTGAGTTACTAAACCTTTTCACTTGGCTGACAGACTTGGAAAGGAGGAAAGAGGGTGTCATGAAGACCACAAGCTCTCATCCTTGTCTGGTGCACTAGCTCTTCAACATTCCAGAGGATGAGTGAGCAACAGTGGAGAGGAGAGGGAACTTTGTAGCATTTGAGCTTCATCAGAGTTAAAGGGTGAGTCCTGCATCCGGATGGAAGAATACCAAGCCCAGCTGGGAGGGAGGACACTCCCAGTTGACAGGGCATGGAGCCTTGAGAATCACCCTTCATTCAAGCACGATGGAAGTCAGCACTCATTCAATGTAGTAGACATGCCAATATGGAAAATATGGAAATGAATAGAAGTAAATTCCTTCCCTCAGTCTCACGATTTTAATGAAGAAGTGCATACTTAATAAACTAATGAGCTAATATATTGAGTGAACTAATGACTGATACAAACAGTGGGCACCTGTGTGATGTGGATTACAGAGTGAGAAACAAGCAGGTTCTATTCAGTAGTTGGAGGGGTAGTTGAGCTAGGCAGATGTTTTCGAAAGTGAAATGGTCTATATTCATGACTTTTCTTTTGCTTTAAAGAAACACTGTGGCCAAGGCAACTTGCAGAGGAGTTTTCTTTGTCTTCTGACCCCTGATGGTTAGTTTACAATGGTGGGGAGCACAGCACGAGGGCCACGGGCACGCTGGCAGGAACAGGAAGCTGCAAACTTATCTCTTGAACCACAAAGGCAAATCAGAGAAAGTACACCGAAAATGG